CACAGGCTCGCTCACGGGACTTCCCCCCAGCGCCCTCCACCCCGTGCCCCCTTTGCCGGTCTGGTAAAGAGCCGGGCTGTGCGGCTGGGCAAGCAAGGTGGAGGCCCCAGGCTGGGGCTCCCCTTCTGGCTGTGGGCCAGAGGCTTTCTGCCGGAGACAGTCCTCCTCCTCCGGCCACACCTCAGCCCGGTGCCTTCCCCGTAGAGCTCTAGCAGCCCGTGACCCCTCTCCCCCTTGGCAGCTGACAGCCACCAAACCGGGGCGGCTCCTGCTGCGGGAGAAAGGCACCTATGTTATCCTGCGGGAGCTGCATAAGGGGGAAGAGGACCCGGGAGTCCGCGCTGCCTGCGAAAAGGTGATCCAGGTAAGCGGGGCGCCTGGCCTGCCTGGGGGGCGTGGCCCCTGGAGACCCTTCCCTCCTGAAGAAGTTGCTGGGAGTTTGGGGTCTGCGTCGATGCTGCTCGCATGCTCCCCCGAGGCCCTGGGCCGTTTGCCCCGAGCAGGTCCTGATTGGCGACGAGCCTGAGGCTGGGATGGAGAACCTGCTGGAGGTGAAGATCCCCGCAGAGGTGGAACAGCAGCTGCAGCGCCTGGATCTGGAGGAGGAGGAGGAGGAGGCAGCGGCAGCGGCCTGCTAGGAAGGGCTGCGTGGAAGAGGAAGTGCTTTCCTCTTCGAGCCTTTGGGCACCAAAATCCTGGTACCTCCTTTTGCCGCCCGAGGCGCTCCTTGGCACCTGGCCAGTGACTGAACAGAGGGTCCCCAGGAAGAGGGGAGTGAAGGGAGCAGCTGACGCCTGCCCTCAATAAAGGCTCCAGTGCACTTTTCCTTCCTGGTCCCACCCTGCCTCTCTGAGGGAAGTGTGCAGCTGCGCCAGACGCCGCTGCCTGGCTAACGGGCACCCCTCGCCCCTGCTGCTGTATTGCAGGGGGTGCAGCAGGTGACCGGGTTGAGTGGGTGCGCTCTTCCCCGGGCCTGCGGGGAAAGGGCCCCGCTCCTGCTGGCCTGGCAGCTCTCCTGATTCCCAGCCCTGCTTGCGGGGGAGGGGGAGCCCGTCCGCTCCTCTTGGGGGGGAGAGGGTCTTCCCCAGAAGCAGGAGATTCCACAAAGGGTAAAGGGCCAAAGAAGGACCTTGCAGGACAGGGAGGAGGAGGAGGAGGAAGCTCCAGCTGCTTTCAGGGGCAGGAAGCCACCCAGCGAGAACTTCCGCCATCAGAGGGGCCAGTGTGGGAAGGGGGGTCATGACCCGGCAGGGGAAGGGTCTGCTGCAGCTGGGGGGAGCAAGGTGCAGGAGGCCAGGCACAGCTTTCATCGGCGGTTGGGGGCGATAGGGGGTGAGGCCTCACTGGCCTGACATAGGAAAGGGGAGTTCTGCTGCGGAAGCCTTGGGGAAGCCGTGGAGCGCTGCCTCAAGGTCAGGGATGGGAGCCTCGGAAACGGGGTGAAGGAAAGAAAACAGGGTGGGGAAGGTGGAGGGGGCAGCTGCCAAGCAAATTGGCAAAGACCACTTCAACCCTGGAGTTGGGGGGGGGGGCTCAGCCCTGAACCTGGCCTGGGGCAGCTGCGGTGGAACAGG